GTTTCCTTAGAGCAGTGTTTCTGAACTTTTTACATGGTGACAAACAGTTTTCCTGCAAAAAACGCCCCACAAACACACACACACACACACACACACACACACACACACACACACACACACACACACACACACACACGGAAGTTTTGGGAGCAGTACCTAACCTTGCCACGTGGGTGCGTTCTAATCTCAGCCCTTCTCTTTTCATTAAAAAGAAAAGAAAATGCTGTTTATAGCTCACTAAACTGGTGTCACGACCTGCAGTTTGGAAAGCATTGTTTCCCAGACAAGTGGAGGTTTTATATGCATTACAGAGTCAAGAGGCTTGCCCCTGGCCATGGGAGAGGAGACTCCTGTTCTGCGGTCAGAGCCTGTCTTGGAAAAGATTGGGTGTTCTGGAAGATGGAGGGAGGAAACCGGGCACATTAGGGAAAAGCTAAAAATTGCATTACTTAGTACCTTTTAAATTGCTTTGATTCAGTTAGTGGAAATGTGCTTTCTGAGAGCTGGCGCTGTTCCTGCAAACCGAGAGCGCATTCGTGCCCCCGGTCGGGGTCACACGCTTCAAGTGGCAACGTGGGGCCTGGCACCTCGAAGCTGCCTCAGGTGCAGGTGGAGGATGCGAGGGTCGGGGAGACGCTTGGCCAGGCCAGGCCGGCCGGCAGCACTCGAAGCATGCCCTCCCAGGCCAGGCCTGCTCCCTGCCGAGTGCTCTCTGTGGCCTGGAGCCGACGTGGCAGTTGCCTGTTGCTTGATCAGCTGTGATGGCCAGCCCAGCTAAGTGAGTCCCCACACTCCACTCATTGACCTACGTGAACACATCAAATGAGTCCCAAGGCGTCTGTCCAGGTTCCTCTGGGTGGGCAGTCTGGGGACCGGATGGGTCTGTTCTGAAGGGAAATGCAGGGGGGTTGGGAGGGGAAGCCGAGGGTCAGAGCCACGGGGCTGTGGGGTCGTGGACCTGGGAGACCCGTGCCAGGATCTGGACAGACAGCAGCAGGGAGTTCCCGGTGGGTGGGGCCAGGAGAGGTGTCAGGTGTAGCCCGGGGCTGGGGTTTCCCTCCTCAACCCCAAAGGTGTAGGCTGGGGAGCCAGGGCGAATCAGACAGGGCTCGGTGGGCCCAGGGGGCTCCTGAAAGGTGGGAGTGGGTGTCACTTCCGAGGCTAAAGGTACGGATGATCCAGAGAAATCGAGTGTGCCTGGACACTCCAGAGTTTAAGTTTTTTACTTTTTTAATTTGTATTGATATCCGAGAAGAAAAGAGAGGGAAGGAGAGAGAGAAAGATCAATGATAAAAAGGAATCGGCTGCCTCCTGCACATCCCACACTGGGGACGGAGCCCGCAACCCGGGCATGTGCCCTGACCGGGAATCAAACTGTGACCTCCTGGTTCCTAGGTCGACGCTCAACCACGGAGCCGGGCTCTTTTCTTCATTGTCTAGCTTGACTTGGGGGCCGTGGGTTGTGAACTGTTCCTTTGAAAGAGCCCACGTGTGCCTGGCACTCAGCCCTCGTGTCGCCAGCAGACCTCATGTTTTTTTTTTTTTTTTAATATATTTTTTTCTTGATTTTTTACAGAGAGGAAGGGGGGGGGATAGAAAGTTAGAAACATCGATCAGCTGCCTCCTGCACACTCCCTACTGGGGATGCACCCGCAACCAAGGTACATGCCCTTGACCGGAACCGAACCTGGGACCCTTGAGTCCGCAGGCCGACAACGGTCTATCCATTGAGCCAAGCCGGTTAGGGCAGACCTCATGTTTTTTTAACAGGAAATTTTATCGGTTTCATCTTGCGATTTTGTGGGTCAGAGAGGAAGTCTGTTCATGGTCCTGGGTGCCATTTCTCTGAACCACCCTTTACCCAGGGATGCTGGCGGGTTGCCCAAGAAAGGCTGGTAATTTTCTTAATGAACCCAGGCAGACAATGTTACATTTTGCCCCAAAATGAATTCGAGGAAGACAGTTGCCGTCCACGTGACAATTTAGAAATTCAAGAGAGGACAGTGCACTGGGTTTTCTCACAGATTCAGAAACTCCGCAGTTCTGAAGAGTAATACCAACACCACCAAAAAGTGTTTATTGGGCGGGAAGGCCTATGTTTGATATTTGAATTTAAGAGGACTGTCCATATTTCCCAGCGTTGGCATCAATAACTAGAACCTGCATTTCCCCCTTAATTCATTCAATAAATATTTAACACCTGTTATGTTCATGGCCGCATTAGACTCGAATCTAGAAGACTGGTCCTGCCCTCGAGGGGGAAATAGAAGAAATAATTACATCTAGTTTTTTTTTTAACACGGAGCGGGGTTAATCCGGGCTTGGGGACTTGGTCATGGGAAGGACGTGGGGACAAGGGGACTTCCGCGAGGCCAGCACCCTCCTGGGCCCTGCGCCTGGAGCCCGTCCCTCCTCCTCCCTGTCCTCCCCTGCCCTGGGGGTGTATGGACTGTGGGCTCAGGGAGCTGGCGCAGGTCCCTCTGGCCCGCAGGGGTTCTCTGGTGGGTTGCGATCTGATTAAGTGCAGCTTTTCTTTTTCGGGAGATTTTCTTACAAGGCCTGAGACTGTTGGTTTCCACATGCGCCTGAGACCTCCTAAATCCACAGTGGCCTTCGTGGACTACAAGGAGCGCTCCCAGCGTTTTCTGGGAGGGCCCTGGTCAGCTTCCTGCCCGCAGCATCGCAGAGCCGCGGCTGGACATGCACAGCGGCCACCCCACCCGAGACCGGGAGGCCTGGGAGGAAGGTGGGCCCGAGGAGCCCTCAGCAAAGGCTCGCTGACCGAGGGAGGATGTCACGGCCGAATGTGCCTGGAGGAAGGCATTGTGTGTAGGCTGGTGGTGGTGGGAGAGGGCGTGGAGACCCTCGGAGGCCCCACGTTTATAATTCTAGGAGATTTGTGTGATTTGGACCACAGCCAGATAGTCATTAATTCATGCAGCAAACATTGATTTTAGCGCTTGGATGTGTAGCGTGTGTTGTTAAGTGACTTGGGGATGCCAGAGGGTTCTGGGAGGCAGTGTTTCCTAAACACATCTTCACATTGGAAACATGTGGGGGAACCACTTAGAGATTTCAAAGCCCAGTCCACACCCAGGCCCTGTCGGGTTCCGGGTGTGGGACCCGGACCGCCGTGTTTTGGAACATCTGAGGATTCCTGTCTGCAGACATGTGTGAATCTCTGCCACAGGGAGGTATCATATAGCCTTAGATAATGCACCCAGAAAGGGAAATAGCAATTAAGATAGCATACAGTGCCCTGGCTGGTTCGGCTCAGTGATTACAGCGTCAGCCTTCAGACTGAAGGGTATCGGGTTCGATTTCCGGTCAAGGGCACGTTGCCTGGGTTGTAGGTTCGATTTATGGCCTCAGTCAGGGTGCATTCGGGAGGCAACAAGTCAATGTGTCTCCCACATCAATGTTTCTCTCTCTCTCCACCCCCCTCCTCCCTCCCTTCCACTCTCTCTCTAAAGATCAATGGAAAAAATATCCTCGGGTGAGGATAGAAAAAAAAGATAGCATCTAGCCACCGCACAGAGAAGGTAGGAGATTCCACACTAGATTTGAGTGGTGAGCACAACTCCTGCCTTGAGAGGAACGCCCCATGGATTAGTCGGTGCGAACCCGGCCCAAGGCCCTGGGAAGGTGCGGGAGGGGAGAGGAGGGGGCTCCCTTCATCCTGGAATTC